CAGATTCGCTGAACTTTGAGAATTTAACCTTGTTCTTGATAATGAATCAATGTAATACAAGGGCCTGATGGAATGCAACCGTGATGTTATGGATCTGAAACCACACTAATATAATCAAGATAAATCACTGTTGGAATATAGCCACCACTGTTGTTTCTGGATCTAGAACACCATCCCCAAGCACCTGATAAATCATCATCAAACTGATTCAGCAACAAAAGCAAATACGTGAAGATTTACCAATAAAAAATGCAAATACATGAAGAGTCAAATAAATAAACCAGTTAGCCAATTTCCAACACACACAAAAAAAAGGGGGGGTTTCAATTCCTGATCTTCTCTAGAACCCTCCCACTGGGTTTCTGAGAATATATTCTTCGTCCCCAGTTCTTGACAACAATTACCTCGAAAGTCTCTCGACAATCAAGCTCATAACCATTGACAAGGTGAAATCAACATCTTTTCTGTGTCTCTTTCAGCCTTTTGGGCCTCCCACATTGAAAGACAAAGTGCCCATTAATTATGAGTTGGACCTGATTGTAGAACTGCAAGCCCAGTTGGATTTTAGTAAATGGTGGGTGCTGTGCATCTAATTTTGAAAGAATTTTGAGTTTTATTGTATTCTAAAGGATTTTGATTCTTTAAAGAAAATAAGATCAGGCCTCAAAACTTTTCTTTCATTCTTTTGCTATTTCTTATCTTTTTTTCCACAAGGTATTGATTGGCGAGTACAAGGAGTGATTGTCCCTAACATTGCTCTATTTTTTGGATAATATCACATACTGCATCACAAAATATCAATTATAATGAAACGTGATGTTACAAAATATTTATATTATAATTATGTTGATTAGATTCATATTATAATTAATTGATTTAATTAGGTTAATTGATTTTATATTATAGAATGATCTCTTGTACAAGCCTATAAATAAGTACCTTGTATATTTAATGAAATAAAGAAAAAAGAGCTTTTTTCTTTATATATCTTTATATTTTTCTTCTTTTTATATTTTTATCATGGTATCAAAGCCTTAAGGCTTTTTTTTTTTACTATTACTATTACTATTCATCTCCTTCGTGAGTTGTTGCTTTGCTTGTAGGTGGTGCTGATCATCATCATCTTTGCTTTCTTTCTTGGACTTATTTACAATTGGGTTTTCTTGATCCTATTTCTTTGTTGCACTGGCAATACGTGTTACTCCAGTCTTCTTGCATCCAGTTGCCACTAATTTTGCTCTTGCTTTCATGCCATTGATTTTGCTCTTGATTTCGCTCTTGATTTCTCTCAATTAAACTTCTGACGTTGCTATTACCTAGATCCGATATTGCCTCATTCTCCTCTAGTGGCGTCAACTGCATCGATTTACATATTTAGTATACATATCTTTTCGCCAAAAGCTCACTTTCCTTGACGTTTCTGCACTCTTCTTTCCAAACTCAAACTGGTCTCCTCATCACCACCTTGAGCTTGAGGGGGACGTTACAAAATATTCATATTATAATTATATTAATTAGATTCATATTATAATTGATTGATATAATTAGGTTAATTGATTTTATATCATAAAATATTCTCTTCTACAAGTTTATAAATAAGTACCTTGTATATTTAGTGTAATTAAAAAAGAAAGAGTTTCTTTCTTCATATATCTTTATAGTTTTTTTCTCTTTATATTTCTATCACGTGATAACTAACTTAGTGTTATACGATAACTCTATATGGTTAAGGTTGTTATCATTAATTTAATTATAATTTTATTAATTTATTTTTTAAAATAA